CTTCTTCGCCCTCAATATCGAGGGTCCGTGAAAGGGATTCCGCAAGATAGAGAAAAGATAGAGAAGAGAAACTATCTATCAACTTGTGCTCCTTCCCTGTAAGGGCGCGTACAACATCACAGTATCCATATATAGCTTACTTTGCCGGGTTTGCCACACAGCAACCCCCACCTTTTTTAAAAACTAATCGATAGCAGTGGAAAACGGTTTAAGTAGGAACTGACTTGCCCCAGCAACTAGAAAGTCGCTGAAGGCGGTAAAACTAACATAAAAAGCTTTTTACAACCTGAAGTCCTGCAAGATGCAAAAACGCCACCGCCCACCAAACCCGATCCTTGGTCCATGCCTGTGAAGTGTCACGTTTACCTCCACTCCAAGCCGCCACTGCTGCGGTGCCGGCGACCATGGCTTTTGTGCTTTCTCCTGTTGAGCGCTCTCCGAGACCACCTCCATAACTTCGTTCAGAGAATCGTTTGGCAGATTTTGAATGCAGATTTGAAATCAGCATCAAAAAGTACACCTAGTAGCATAGGTCCCATTTCAAATGGCCACTTCGACTTCGGATCCTTCCCTTGTAAGTATGATTAGACCTCTTTCAACTTCGCTACCTCAACTTACCTCGCTCTTTCAGCTTTTATGGCTTTTTATCTCACACATTTTTTAAACGGCTTTTACGAGTCAGATGAAAAGCTATCCAACACAGCTGGCTCTTACAATAGTTCGAATGGGTGAATGAAACAAAGGATGAAAGCCTCAAAGGGAAATAGAGCTACGGTACATATGTCGGTAGCCCCTTGATGATTCCGTTTGGGAATTGGCCCAAACTCCATTCAACCCGTCAGAACTTTCCATTACAGGAATATGTTGTCACAGCTGTACACCACCTGATCACCTGGAAATCATGATATGTACCTTCACTATTCGAATAAATAAATAAATAAATAAATAAATAATCAAACCAGAGAATAAAAGGCAGGTACAATGCGTAGCGCGTCTCAAAAGCAAAACCATTCCGAGCCTTCTACTCTCCTTGTTCATCTTTTTATCTTACAAGTTTTTTTAGGTAAACAAAGACTATGTTCTCTCGGCTGTAGCAAATATAAAGACAGTTGGCCTTGACCTTTTATCACCATACACAGGCAAGAGAGATATCGGTGTAAAATTCACAACATATGACGATATGACTGAGGATTTCAGGTGGTCCTTCAGATCAGATTTTCATCTCACCTCAGTAGTCCATCTTGCTTTTTTTTCAGAGAATCGTGCAATGTCGTTCGATACTACGATAAAGATAATCAACTGTTGTTCAACGCACAAACTGGGTGATTCTTAGTAGATCTTTTTCGTTTTCTGTTTGTCTCCTCAAACCAACAAACTTTGTCCCATAATGCCAAGCTAGGGGAAACATTTAACAAAGTCAAAAAACTTGAAACAACCAATTACATATTCCCTTACGCTACACACCTATTTCGTTGGTGGCTCAGATTCACCTTGTACCTCACGTTGCATGGTTGGAGAGATGGATAAGGCGAAACCATTCCTACTCTGCGCTGGAGTTCCTTAAGTTCTGTCGATTTTTTTACTTCCGTAGAAGTTTTTCAACGGATGTGGGGTAGTACCGCACCTTTGCTCATAAAGTGGCACTCTTGCACACATAAATATGGTCAAGGAATAAAATCTTGACTGGTACCTCCCAGACTAACCGAGTCTCCCATCTCTCCAGTGTGGTTATATGGCATCAGAAGCTGTCTGACAAATAGAAAGCTAACTTGAACATCATTCCAAGTCATTGTGTAAGTCACATTACATTACCACTATTCTTAAATTAAAGCCGAAACTAGGGCACATCTGAAGGGATGGAACAATTGTCCTAGAGGATTTTTTTGTAAGAGTTGAGCTCGGTTAATTGCTTAACCTGCATCGCTTGTCATGTAGTGTCACTTCATAAAATTTAGAGGTTGGTGGTTTGGAAGCTGTGGTAACAATTTGAATGGCCTGTTTGTGAAGAACACCGGATCGTCCACCTGCCATTTGGAAGAGTAGGTTTTCTTCTATCAATACTCCTCTCTCCTTTACTAAAAAGCTTGATCTGGTGGATTCTTACGTAAAGAACAGTCATTCTCCTGCTCCTCTGTTTTAAACGAATCTATGTGCATGGCGCAATCGAAACCTAACCGAGAGGCCTTACCTACTACTTCCTACTCTTTCATTTTGGTCTTTTTTAGGAACTTCCCTCAAAACACCAGTGGAATCGAGATGCGAACAACACCAGGAATGTACGCAGTGAATACCCCTATCAGTTCCGACTTGCGTGCATTTGATGGCATCAGTTATGATCGCGTTCGAATGGCCATATTCAGGAGTGGAGAGACTCCGGTGGCTACCAATCCATTCTGTGTAAGCTACTGATATTACCGTAATGGTTCACGAAAGTACTTTACAAGAGAATCAATCACACGCACATAACAAACCATCATTCATGGGAAAGATTGAGAAAAATAAGCAGGGGGTACGTCGGAAACATTACTGAAAAGTCCTCTGCTTTACGGTTGGAAGTCCCGAGGAGGGTTGTCTGACTAACCCACATACGACTTATGTATGGACAACATTCATGCTTCATTCAGTTGGAAGTCGCCAAATGGGTTTAGTGAAATGTCCCGCTTTGGAACTTCCAGTCATCATCCGGGAAAGCCCTCCGTTTTCTGAGTTACAGGGCCGCCCCTAGGTGACAATACTTCTTCCCGAATTCCCATGGTAAGCGGCAGTCGTTTCGAGACGGCTACCATATCTTTTCGCGGGGGATTCAAACCTTCCACTTTGCGATCAGGTGCGGCGAACGCGACGAGATTTTCGGGGAGAAGTTACCACACTTACTGATCTTTTAATATAGCAATTGAACAAGAGAATGNACGTGGTAATCGAAAAAACCAGCTTGTGAAGTGATTTTCTCAGGGATTCAAACATTAAGGAAAGCAGAAAAAACGTGTCTCCCCTTGAGCATGTAAGTTTCGAAGCTTGACATCTACATAGCTCCGTATGAGACTCAATCAATGAATCAATAAGCTATCAAGTGCAAACTCTACTGACCATACCCTTTATACTTATCCATTGTGGCCTATCACTTTATCCCATAGCATTCATATTTCAGACTTGAACGCCCAACTGCTATACGTCAACGTAATCGGAATAAATACATTTGCATTTCGTGGTATTTATTACATTTTTAATGCATTAACACAAAAATCGATAAAGACAATCGATATTTGAGCATTATTACGATAACAATATCATAGTGATAGCCTGAATTGATTGAAACAACAGATTTGTTAACACGTTATTCTTTGCAGTAGAATTTCCTAGAAACTGTAAAACTGATTAGCGAAAAATCGATAATCGATCGGGACAAATATTAAAAGGAACAGCAGAGGCAATAAATTAAAAACAAGGAATTAAAAATTCGACGAAGTTCACAGAAATCTTATCGAGTAACACGAAGGATTGATAGTGTAAAACTGATTAGCGAAAAATCGATAATCGATCGGGACAAATATTAAAAGGAACAGCAAAGGCAATAAATTAAAAACAAGGAATTGAAAATTCGACGAAGTTCACAGAAATCTTATCGAGTAACACGAAGGATTGATAGAGACAATACAGTCTTGAAGGGTACTATTCCACTATTACAACCCCAAAAACTCAAAATTTTAATTTTCGATGAAACTTCGCCTATAGGGGTAATCCGATGCCCTGATAACGAATA